TACTTCTAGCTCGAGATCTGGATCTCTTAGAAGAAAGAAGGGAGAAAGCTGCAATTCAGCTCGCAGCGTACCAGCAGCAGCTTGCTAGAGCTTACAATAAGAAGGTCAATCCAAGGGATTTTCAGATCGGTGACCTAGTTCTAAGAAAAGTTGTTGGCAACAAGAAGGATCCCAGAGAGGGCAAGCTTGGCCCAAACTAGGAAGGGCCCTACAGAATCACTTCGGTATTGGGCAATGAAGCATACCGACTTGAAAACAATGAGGGCAAAGCATTGCCAAGACCCTGGAACACTTCTAATTTGAAATTTTTCTATCATTAAATGTTCCTTGTTATTTCTTACCGACATCATCAATAAAATTTTAGCAGAGTTCTCCAAAGACTTGTAAATTGATAAAAGATGCATAATGATTGTTTCTGAAATAATGAGAACCCAAGTGGAACTCAGGTTCATATTGGGGGCAGAGAGAAGACAGTAATACTTAACGCTTGTTGAAATTTGTAGCAATTTACAAGTTGAAGTTAAGCCGAGATAATTGTTTATCTTCACTTGTTGAAATTTGTAGCAATTTACAAGTTGAAGATAAACCAAAGACAAGAAACTTGCTGAGGTATATCATCGGTTGGCATAACCAAGGTGTGTCACCCCGAGAAGGTTACACAAAGGAGGAAGAGTGTACATATGTAGAATATTCTAAGTATAGAATCATGCAAAGACAAAAAAGAAAAGACATGAGTGCAAGCACTCAGAAAAGAAAAGTTATATTCATTCACCAAAGGGCACATTGGCCACACAAAAAACATACATTGTTCCAAAAGATAAAGAAGCAACAAAATACAAGTAAGCAAAAGAAGAATATAAAACTAAGGCTCCTCTCCTCCAGATTATTGAAATTGAAGATCAGATACCACCTCGGCCTCATTCTCTGCCGCTATCTCGGCGTCAATTTCTTGGAGAGTTTCTTCAACAGTCTTGACCTCAAAAGGGATGTCAGCTGGTGCGATGTCGGGAACAGCTTCTTGGACAACCTCATCGCCTTCTTCATCTTGAGTCAAGTCTAGGACTTGTTTATTCTGAAGAGGGGACTTGGCCTCATCAGCATCTTTTGATTTTCTAATCAAAGCCTCGTCCTCTTCTTCCTCGGCCTCATCCTCAGCATCAGATTCGCCGACATCTTTACTTGGAGTTGGGGCTGGAGGAAATGGCAAGGGAATGGCGTCGGCCTTCCACAATGGAGAGTCATCAGGAACATTAAGTTTTTTAAGAAGGGACATCCAACTAAGGGTGAAACCCTTGTTGCATGCCTCCTTCACTTGTTTTTCGTAGGCCTCAGTAACGTTGGCCATACCCTGTGAGTACACCTTTTCGTCAGCGTCTTTGATTTTAGCTTCTTTGGTGGCCAGGGCCTCCTGACGTTCTTTTTCAGCTTGGGCCATTTTTTCCTCGACCTCTCTCCTTTGCGATTCGGCCACCTTCCTAATGGCCTCAGTAGCCTCAGCCTTTTCTTCGGCTTCGATCTGAGCCTTGATGGCTTCCTCAGCTTGGTCTTCCAGCTTCTTCATTTTTGACTGGAGGCCTTTGTTGGCCTTTTGGAGGCTAGAGACCTCCCTTTTCATCTTAGAAAGCCTCTCCCTGTTCTCAAAAGACTGCATTGAGAAAGAGTGGGCATGCTGGATGGCCTGAAAGAAAACAGAGGTATTTACCAAGTAGACGACGTTTACCTGAACAGAGTGCTGTAACATTAAGGCATAGTTCTCATACTCGCTATACTGGGCGTTCTGCTCCAGGTAGTAGAGCGGTACGGAGTGCAACGCCGACATTGATATCGTCGGCGCTGTCACTTGCCATTATGGGCTTATCCTCTAGGGTGATTTCGGGGGCCCAGGGGGCATCTGGTTTTTTTGACCCCGAAGTTGTTGCAGTTGACCTCGGCCTTTTTGATTTAGAGGATTCAGAAGGAGGTACTTCGGCAGACCTCTTCGAAGGGACAGAGGCAGTTTTCTGACTTGGAGCCAGTTTTGAGGCTGGCAAAGTGTCCTCAGTCTCAACTTGAGTCACTTTCACCTTCGGTTGAGCTTTCTTGATTCTTTTTGGTTTTGCTGGAGGTTGGGCTTGTGTTGGTTGTTCATCAATGGATGATGGAATGTTGGCTAGGAGGTCTTTAGCAACTGGCTTTGCGCGACCCATCTCGGCAGTAAGAACAAGATGTCGGCGACGCTTTCTTTGGGATGGTGGAATGAGGTATGGAGCCGAGATTGACGACTGTTCTGCTGGATCAGAGGTTGATCCTTGGTCTGTTCACGATGTTGATGCAACTAGAAGAGTTGTAGCAGAGGGAGGAGATAAGCTCTTCTTCTTCTTTTTCCTGGAGACGTCGGGGAGAGCTGATTTGTATGTTGGGATGAAGTTTAGAAGCAGGGGTGCCTTTCGCTTTTGAACTGGCGGGTCCAGTAATTTCTTTAAATCCTTGCTGGGAACAAAGGATTGGCGAAAGTTTTTTGGCGGTTGAGGAAGAACTGCAAAAGTAAAGACAAAGCAGACATTAGGAAACAGATAAAGTATACAAGACTTTAAAAGTAAAACAAGTATGAATGCAGGGCTCTTACCATTGCCCTCTATAAAGACTGATCATGGGAGAGAGAAGAGATGGAGGTCTTCATCTGGGGTGAATTCCCAGTTCCTCGAGGTAATGAAATAATTGTCACCAGCTCCCTTGTTGGAGTCTGAGAGGTCGGCTACAATTTTGAATTCTGTGGACCTCGGCTTAAGGTAATAAATGTAGCCTTTTTCTTTCAAGTTAAGGCCACACATGGTATAGCAATATTGGATGTCGGCAAGGGTGATCCTAGCGTTTTCCTGTTTAGCTAGGGCTATAATACCATTGATCACTCGGTAAGAGTTGATGGCCAGTTGCATAAGGTTCAACTTATAGTAATGGAGAACCTCACGAAACAGAATGTTTAGTGGAAGCCGAAGTCCACACTCGATAAAGGCGACTACGGGGAAAGGCATGGAGTCAGTAGTGGGCATGATGGAGTCATCATCCCCCGCCAACCTCAAATGGACGTCAGCTGGGATCTCAAACTCCTGTCTAAAGTATTCTAGTTTGGAAGGGGTGTTTACCCTATGTTCCCACATACCCATGATATCGGCTTAATCTTAGAAGGTGGGTCTCAGAAGATGTTTTTCAAAGGTTATTGGGACCTCGGGAAACAAAAAGGTAGGTGCAGGTTTCAGTTTTTTCCTAAGTTATGGGTTCTACAGACAAATCCTAGACCTAAATCTATGGAAACACGGATTGAAAGCAAGAATCTAAAAAAGATGCAAAAAAGAGAAAATAAAAACGAAGTTTCAGAAACAAGAATTGAGATGGGCTATCAAGAACATGAAGAATACAAGAGTATATGGCCAAGAACCGTGGCAAAAGTGCAAAGAAATGGTGAAACAGTGCGTGTGTGCAAAATATGGGCAAAGGCAAAATCATGGATGAATGCATTTAGATGTACGATTTATGAATTAAAAAAAAAAAAGCTCGAAACAGTATAGTAATGGCGACAGCAAAAAAAAGAAGAAGAAACATCAGGGAATTGAAAACGAAAAGAATAGTAGCTTACCAGAAAAGGGAAGCCGGAAAGGGATTTGCCAATGTCCTACGACGGTTGCAGGAGCAAAAGACCGGTGAAAATCTCGCTGGAAGGGGTGAACGGAGAAAGATGCAGAGCTTTGGAAGCTTGAGCGATGGAGGGTTTTGAAAGCTAGAGAGAGATAGCAAGAGATTCGAATGAAAAAGTGAAGAGACGGAAAAAAGGGAAAAAGTTTTTGATTAAACAGAAACGGCAGCAAAAGCAATCAATACGCCTAGAAGAACGAGGGCGTCAGACGGTGCACATGAAGAAAGAGGCGGCTAACAGGCACGTCACGTGTAAGGACCAGTAAGAGGGAAACGCGTGGCTAAAACGGTTGGGTTGAAGTGCATGACAGCTCATGCGCGTGAGAAGGTCCTTAAAAATCTTGATTTTTTAGGGAAAGCATGTCGGCCTGAAATGAATGATCTCGGCTGTCAAATTTTAAGCCGATTTACTGGAAGAAAATACAGATATAGGTTCCATCAACCCAGAATGTCGAGGTAATAGAACCTAGGGGGCAGTTGTGGGGATGTATTTTCTGAATACCGACACATGGCATGGTGATGCCGACGTGTCAGCCGAGGTGCCACGTGTCCTGGTAGTTATGCCAAGGTTACCTAGGCAAGGACGAGGTGATCTCCGAAGATATCGGAATCCGAGATAAGCGGATAAGGGACAAGAGTCCTAGAGTAAAGAGAAGACTTTGCTGAGATAAGGATGAAGCTCTTAGGAAGTTTATCTTTATCTCTTGAGGAGTCCAAAGTAAGTACTAAATTGGAGTCCATAGAAGTCAAGCTTCTAGTAGGACTAGGATTGAGTAAACTATAAAAGAGAGGCACCCCCGTGGGTCTAAGGTACGCAGTTTTATGCTTTGAGTAGTGAGTTTAGCACTTGATTATCTTTGAGAGATATACTGACTTGATCGTCGGAGTGCCCCCGGGTGGTTGAACCACCGCCGGAGACTTCTCTTTCTGTTGCAGGTTAGCTAGAGGCCATCTATTCTGCCAGTGCTTTTCCAGCTAATTACTAGGCGGGCAGTGTGGTCAGAATTCAAGAGTGGGAGTTCGAAGGGAGTCGAAGACAGCAGAATTTAACTATCACCTAAATTTTGAATTCAAGCTACAAACATATATAATTTTAACAAATTTCGGTTAGTAGTATGTATAATTTTAGAAGAAGAAGACGTATAGCTATCAGTCAGAAGAAGTATAGCTATCTATCTGCTAGTGTAATCAATCAATCTGGAATTTTCTATCCAGCCGAATAGAGCAGAATTTACGTGAATTTATGGTCAAAATTCAGGATTCAAAATTAAAAATATTCAAAATTCAGAATTCAAAAAGGGAGAAACACAACAGCGAGTTTGAAGTCTTACCTTGCGAGTGAGAGTTCGAAGGGAGCCGAAGACAGCCAAAAACAGACAGAACCTTGAGCCAAAAACAAACCCAGTAAAATGAGATCATATACAAAATGTAAAGGAATAAAGGAACACAATGTATTTGACTAAAGGAATAAAGGAACACAATAATAGAGGAAAACTCAATAATAGAGGAGATAACACATTGTATCTGACTAAAAAAACATACAACAAAGAGTAATCAAGATACTTCAGAAAAAAATTCTGAAATCAACAAAGAGTCAATATATGTAGATGTTAATGAAGGTGAGAATAAGGAGATAGCTTCCAAGGACTCACACGAGTTATTGAAATTCTGAAATTAACATGAGATAACACATGAGTTATTGAAATTCTGTTTCCTTTATTTTAGCATGAGTTATTAACATGAGTTATTTTAGCACTATACAGGAAATCAAATTGTTATATATAAAAGATCATGTGTAGCATTTGATGAGTCCTACACCAACCAGATCACTTCGCAGCTAGAGAAAGATCATGAAAGATCATTCTGAAAATTTTCTAAGTTACACCGTGTGTTCCATTGTGTTCAAATTGTTATTATTTTACTCGACGACTATAGGAAGTCAAATTTGATTTCAGAATTTCATGACTACAGGAAGTCAAATTTGATTTTGTGATTTCAGAATTTGATGACTATAGGAAGTCAAATTTGATTTTGTGATTTCAGAATTTGATGACTACAGGAAGTCAAATTCATTCAACAACACTTTTTTTGTCTTTCTCTTAGCATGAGTTATTAACATGAGTACTCTTTAATTTTTACTCAAGGCACGGTGTAAAAAACAGGAAATCAGTCAACTTGAAATTCATGAATACTCTTTAATTTTTAACATGAGTACTCTTTAAACATGAGTTATTAACATGAGTATTCATGAGTTATTAGCATGAGTACTCTTTAATTTTTATTCTGAAATTCATATCTGGAGTGATAAACTAACCCAGCAGAATTTTAAGGCACAAAGTCAGAATTTAAGGCAGCAGAGTTTTAAGGAAAAAAAGTCAGTACACAAATTAGGACAAGCTGTTTTAAACTAAGATCAGAAGAAAAAAATTGTCATAAAGCACAATCAAAAGTTTGGCAATCAGAACAATCTAAGTGTTACTTGAGTTAATGTATAATAGAAGTCAAAACAGGACACAGATCAATGTTTTGCTTCCCATAGAAGAATAAAGCAAAATAATTAAAATTTTTATGTCAATAATACCACAAAAAACAACAAATTCCATTAATATACAACAATCCCCTAAACAAAAAATGCATGCTTTATTAAGGACTCACTCGGACCTCACATCTTCACTTTTGCACCTATGTGATACATGAAAGCTAGCAACAGAGGCGACTTCTCAACAGCTTAGAGCACCAAGTTCCCTCCACTGCTCTGGTCTGTCAGGTGCACAGCCTTCTTCCGTGTGCATAGAGGTTGTTTCCATACATAACCTATGTAAAAAGATATAACCACCATAACCAATCTAAAATCTAATTGTGTTCTTGAGAATCTGAAATATAGTTTGTTCTTGAGACTGAGGAAGCTTATAAGAGTTGAAAATCCAAAACTCTTAAGTGGAGTTGAGATGTTGCTATTGCACGCCACTCCATTTCGCCCAATCTACAAATTGCATTCCACTATAGATATTATTGGCAAATCGCACTCCCACAGTAAAAGCCATTGCAACAGGTGAGACCCGCTTTGCCAAAGGAGATGCTTCGACCAGATGCACCAGCCCATTTAGGATTTGATAGCGAGTGTTGGAAGACACCGCAAGAAAAACACCTAATAACAAAATAAAATAACTTTGCCAGGAACAACTAAAACCAGAGTAAAATCTTTTTCATTTGCTCCCTTCACAACACAGAGCACGTAAAATGGGACTACGTCAGGGAATAAAGATAAAATGGGACTAAAATTGACTCGGTACTTCACAATCAATTGTTGTAATCCCTGTCCATCTGAAGGATTCTAAATCTGAAAGCAGAAATCTGATAAATCTGAATAAGAAGCAAATGCCCATCAAAATGGAAGGTATGGAATGGGCATTGGAGTTTGAAATCTTATAAATCGGAAAGAATTTTGAATAAATCTGAAATCTGATAAATCAGAAATCAGAAATCTGAATAAATCTAAAATCTGATAAATCAGAAAGAATTTTAGGGTTTGGATGCATTGGAGTTTGACACACAGAGGAGAGGCGTCGCGATGGTCGGTGGTCGTCGCATGGGATGGGCTCCGATGCAGGTAAAGAGAGAGAGAGAGAGACAGACTTCAAAATTGAAATGAGAGAGAGAGAGAGGAGATGAGTACCGTTGATGCTCAATAGCATTTGGGCAGGAAATAAAGACATCTTAACCATTGAAGTTGAGATGAGACAATTTAGACCATTATATCAAAATATATCTCACATACATTTTAAGACATTTTCAAAAAATTTATTGCCTTATTATATAGATATTATTTTTTTTACCTTTTTATTGTTGGGTGGTGTTGAGTGGGTCCCATAAGTCCAAGTTTATTTATTTATGTTACTAATAGTTTTGTAAAGCTTCCAAGGGAAGCTTAGTGCACCTGTCAACAAATGGGGAAAAAAATGGAAAAGGAGAAAAAGAGACTTTTATCTCTAATGTTTTGATATATTTATACACACAACAACAAAAACAAAGAGTGCCAAGAGAGGGAGAGAAAGAAGAGAAAAAATGGGAGAAAATTTAGGGTTTCTTCTATAGTTGAATGGTCATTTCTTGCCCAATCTTGATGAAATTGCAGCATGTTATTCATGGAATCAAGCTCTACATTTTGATCGGAGTGGATCCTATCAAAGCTCTCTTAGATTGATAGTTTGGGATATCCATTTTGGTGAGACCTAAACTTTATCTTTTGTTGATTTTGTTGAAACCCACCTTTAAGGTGATAATATAAATATTGTTAGTGATCCAAGAATATATCTTGATAATTGTATATCTCTAGTTGTGACTAGAGATGAACCATTGTAACCCCATTATTTTATAGTGGAAGTTGATTCGGAGTTAGACCTGTGGACGTAGGCACTTTTGCTGAACCACGTAAATTTGGTGTTATTGTGATTGTTTTGTTGCCTTTAATTTCAGCCATATTTTTGCTTGTACTTTGTGCTTTCTTGCCTATTTTCTAATTACACAAGGAGGGAAAAATATAGGGCTATGTTTGGTTATGTTTTGTAAATATAATTACACTCCTCCATTTGTATTTCATGTTTGGATGGAGTTTTCAAAATGTGATTCCACCACACATTTCAAAATGTAATTCTTTTTCACGTTTGGCAGATTTCTCTCTATTTCATCTTCTCCACTCTGAAAAGCGTCACAACGTATATATTCTCTCTCTGTCATCTTCTTCATTCTAAAAAGCTTCATGTGCAAAGAAATTCAAAACTGAAGATGCTTCACAGCTGAAGATGCTTCATAGGAGAGTTGCAGTTCTTCAATCACGTCCTCCTCTTTTTGAACTCAACTCTGACCTTCAAATCCAAACCATGCCTGTGAATCGATTCCTTCCCACCCATAAATTGGCATCGACCAACTCCCACAAATCAACTGACTTTCACTTTGTGCGTTGTGATCGATTACCCTCCGGGCACTGAAGCAACGACAACAAAGAGGTAAAGTGGAACAAAAATTTCTCTCAAAATATATGTATAGGTTCTATATGCAACTGAATCATTTTCTGCTTAATCCCCAAATTTATTTGTCTCAGGTCAAATTTCTAAAGCGTTTTCTCAAATTAGACGGCTCCGAAGCAGCGCACATCCAGCCACTATACCCACTTCGTCACTGGTGACAACTATTCAACTTTTACTCCTCTGGTACGTATATCCTTCAATCGATCTGGTATAGAACAACTGAGAATGTGGAATGGGTTCTCTCTGATCTAGGCTAAAGTGGCTGAGCCGGTCGTCCACTAGGACTTTCGGTCAGTGGCCAACTGCTAATTACTCTTCTGCTGCTTCTCGATCGACCGCCAATCACCCTTTTGCTTCTTCTCTTCTTATGCTTTCTTATAAGACCGTGTGAACTTCGATGGAGCAACACTCTTTAACAACTTTTGTGATTAATATTCTATTTTTCTTTTGATCTTCTGTTGTTTTTTCACAACACTTTTTAACAACTTTTTGTGATTAATCTTCATTTATCATATTTGAACTGACACCGAATTGATACATAGTTCTTACATTGTTACTGGAAACTCAAGTTCTATGGATAAATTATTCTTAGCACTTATACACAAGTTGATTTGAGGTCTTGTTATTTTCCAATATCCGCATAAGCTTAGTTTACATATGAATTGTGTGTTAGATGGATAGTAACAATTCAGAAGATAATCAAGACACAAAAGTGTGGAGCTTCATAATTGAATTAAAGCTAATTAACATGTTAAGAGAAAAGGTGCAATAAAATCAAACAAAAAGGCTGTAGTTCTATTTGGACGGCTAGACATTGGACCCATTTTGCAACTGAGTTGCAAAATCTATATGGGTTCCGATACACACCAAAATATGTGAGGCAAAAATATCAGCGACTGAAAGTTGATTACGTAACTTTCAAGTGGCTTCAGGCACAAACTGGTCTGGGATGAGATCTGATTATAGGAACGGTTATTGCATTGGGTAATTTTTTGGATAAGGTATTGAATTAACCTGTACCCTTTTTTCATATTTATTTGTAAAATTTTGTCACATATACCATACGCTTATTTTCATATTTTGCAATTGGAGGTAGGCATCAAAAAATGTAAAGAAATTCAGGACGAAAGGCTTTGAATATTTTGACAAAATGGCCAAAATTTTAGAACATTGCTGTGCCATAGGGGCCTTGGCCTTTGCATCCACACAAGGAGCCCCTGCCTCCGATGAAGAGGACGATATGCTTAACAAATGCGGCTGAAGCTATTACTGTTGAATCATTTGGAGATGAGTACATGGAAACATCTAAGGGCAAAAGTCACAGGAAGGGCCATAGCCAGAGTGATAGTGGTCGTTCTAAATAGTCACGGTCAAGTGGCTTTGATGATGTTGGTGCAACTTTCAC